GGGGGGGGGGAGGAGGGGAAATTAATGAAAAATATTATTTTTTTGAAACCGGGTCTCTAAAAAATGTGGTTCTAAAAGATCATTTAATTTGTTCTTAAAGATCGCTTAGTTTGTTGTTAAAGATCGCTTAGTTTGTTGTTAAAGACCGTTTAATTGGTTGTTATTGATCGGTTAGTTTGTTGTTAAAGATCGGTGAGTTTGTTCATAAAGATCACTTAGATTGTTCTAAAATATCGCTTAGTTTAATCTTAAAGATCGTTTAGTTTGCTGTTAAAGATCGTTTAGTTTGTTATTAAAGATCGTTTAGTTTGTTGTTTAAGATCGTTTAGTTTGTTGTTAAAGATCGTTTAGTTTGTTGTTAAAGATCGTTAAGTTTGTTGTTAAAGATCGTTTAGTTTGTTGTTAAAGATACTTTAGTTTGTTGTTAAAGATCGTTTAGTTTGTTGTTAAAGATCGTTTAGTTTGTTGTTAAAGATAGTTTAGTTTGTTGTTAAAGATCGTTTAGTTTGTTCATAAAGATCGCCTGGTTTGTTGTTAAAGATCGTTTAGTTTGTTCTTAAAGATCGCATTAGTTTGTTGTTAAAGATCGTCTAGTTTTTGTTAATGATCGCTTTATTTGTTCTTAAAAGTTTGTTTTTAAAGAACATTTAGTCTTCTGTTAAAGATCGCTTAGTTTATTCTTATAAATCATTAAAGATCATTTGTTTTGTTCTTAAAGATCATTTAGTTCGGTCTTAAAAATCGTTTAGTTTGTTCTTTAAGATCGTTTAGTTTGTTATTAAAGATCGCTTAGATAGTTCTTAAAGATCACTTAGTTTGTTTTAAAGATCGTTTAGTTTGTTCATAAATGTCGTTTAGTTTGTTGTTAAATATCATTTAGTTTGTTCTCAAAGATCGCTTAATTTGTTCTTAAATGTCGCTTAGTTTGTTGTAAAATATCGCTTTTGCTTAGTATTAAATGACCGAAAACCTGAGTAACTTTCGGCCGGATGGCCGAAAGTCTAAGTCAATTTCGGCCGAAACCGAAGAAAAACCGAAAGTTAACTTTTCTCTTTCGGCCGAAACCGAAATTAAGCCGAAAGTTAACTTTCCAGTTTCGGCCGAAACCGAAACTTTGCCGAAAGTGATAAAATGGCCACTTTCGGCGCCGAAACCGAAGCCGAAGCCGAAATTCGGTCAGCCTCTAGTGTCCTCCCAAACATACACTTTTTTTAGGTTGTCAACCGAAGACACCCGATGCGGTCCGCACCGCTCACACAACCCAAATGACGCAGCTGCTTATGCTCAAAATTCATATTGCATTCTAGAGATGAATAGGTTTTCACAATTTCACATGATGTGACCGTCAATAGTTGCTGCCTTTTAAAACATTTTATCTTGAGGTGCATGGATTCAAGGAACTTCTTAATAACAAAGCGGAGAAATCAATTATTGAACCCCGAAAACATTATCCCATTTAATCTCCTTATAGTGATGTTTTAAAGGTCGTTGTATCAAAAATGAAACAATATTTTAGCAAAATTGAATTGAATTTTTTTTCAACAAAAAAAAACAACAACAACAAAACTTTTGTTCCATAAAAGGAATTTTATTCAATTATTTTATAATTTTTATGTTAATAAATGTAATTTTTGATTAATAGATTCGATAAGCCATTTTGAATGTAAAAAGTCGACTATTTTTTTCTTTACAACCTGGGGATAACGGCGATTTAAACAAATATACTTTGGGGTAACAACTAAAAAAAAACAACAACTCGCTGACTCGATGAGTAAGATTAAGCATAATCCATGTGTAGGCCTATTTTACGTTATGCACAATGATAAATAAAAATTGGGATTAGATTCACAAAGGAGTGTTATAGTCGGTATAGTACAATATAATCTTTAAAATCTTTGCAGTAGCACATGAGGTCGTAAGGTCATATGAAAGTGCCCGACTCGTGTTGAAATGACAATTCTATTGTCTGCACTGACTTGTTCACCTTAAGCCGGTGGCGAGTCGTCGTGTGTAAAGGGTTCTTTTCGGGGTCGTATTTTGTATTCAACGTTTTCAGCTTGCTCCTCCACTTCCAGGGCAAGCTCGACGCCATGGTTCGGCACACGTCCCTGTACTCCCGGCCGCCTAACATGTACAAAACAGGACCTTTGACCAGCGAGTTGCTGAACTGGAGAAGCTGCATGGTTACTTTGAGGAGTTCATAATTCGTCCTCGTGAAGACGTTTGCGTTTTTGAACGGAACCAGCAAAAAGTACGGCAGCCACATAATAACAAAAAACACAGTCAACGCCGTGGCTATCATCACTGAATTTACTCTGCTCTCAAAGCTGCGAATCTGTCGCGTGGTGTAGCGGGAAATGTTGGATTGGAATATGGCCTGCTGCCGGTTGATTTTTACGATGATGTCGACGTACAGAAGAAGAGAGAGGGACGATGTGACGAAAACTGTGACAAATGACGCAATGTTGATGACGTATTTGGGGATGTAAACCTTAAAGTTACAGCCAAGATTCACCGGCGTGGCGTCGCTTGCATACGTGTTCCACACAAACATGCCGGCCAGAGTGACCAAGGAGATATAAATCCACAAGGACACTACAGCCAAGAGCGTTCTGTCTTTAGCCATGATTCGAGGGTACTGCCAAGGGCGTATGACAGCTATGAAACGGTCGACGGAGATGAACAAAATGGAATACAGGGTGCCGCCCCCGGACATGCCCATCGCCGACAGCCATGACGCGCAGACGAATCTGTTCAGAAATACCTCCGAGGCCGGAGAGGGCATGTAGCTGATGACATACAACGGCATGCAGTAGATGCCTAAAATGAAGTCGGACAGAGCGAGTCCCAACAGAAGGTAGTTGAAAGCTCTGTGGAAACGTGGATACAACAACACAGCCCCGATGCACAGCACGTTGGTGAACAAGTTTATGGGAATGAACGCGAGGCAGACGTAGAAAAAAACATAACGTGAAATGATGAGATCTCTTTCGTCTCCAACATTTAATGAAGTGTTGTAAAGAGATTCGTCGTTTTGAAACAAATCGATGTAAAATATTTCAAACATTTTTTATGACACGGACCGTGGTCACTTGGTGGGTCAAGGTTTTTTTTCGAATAAATGACCGGATGCTAGTTGACAAAACGACAAATGTATCCTCTCGGGCAAATAAAATCAGATTAGGCTTATGGTTTTGGATGCTACTTGTAGGGGAAATGAGAAGATCCTCAAAGTATAAAAGTCCTCTCATCAAATTGTGTTTATCCCCTCATAACATTCTGTAATCCTCTCACCAAAATCTGAATGTCCTTTCATCAAATTATGTATTTCCTAACATCAAACTATGTATGCCCTCATATCAAATTCTTCATGTCCTTTCATCAAAACACGCAGTGTGATGCATCGTATACCGTAGATTTGAAATTGAGTACATCACTTTCTACGATGATCTGCAAGGGACACAGGCGGTAAAGTGAAACGTCAAAAGGAGGGAGTTTAACAGGCGCAGAGACTTGCTGCCACGCCTGCGGTGGCAGCTTGGAAGAAAAATTCCTAGCACACGTTACTAAACCAAAAGAAGCTGTTGCAACGGACGGACCGGACTTCAACAGGAATTTCTCCAGCTGTGAACTTAAGATGAAAATATGTCGCTCCCATGCACGTGGTGATTTGAAGTTAAAATTCAATTTCGTCTATTTCCCCTTTGTAAAGTAGATAAACAGGAAGTTTAAGATGGTGCGTCGATGTCCAACTCGAGTTTCGCTCACACAACCACAGACTGTTTACATCATGGATATATTCACTGCACTTTTGAGCACATTCATGGGGCTGAGCTGTTATTCCGTTTTACATAATTTTGCACACTTTGGTGTCAGTTGCGCATATGAATCTCGGGAAGTCGTACAGTACTTGTAGAAAAGATTTTCTGTAAACTCTACTGAATATTTTTTGGTAAGTTGCCTCAGGCCCTCCAACCCCCATTTCATGACACCCGCACTGAGTCGCCCTTGCAACCAATGAACTATCCTCGTCAATACCAGACACAGAAACATTGAAAATCCCCTGTACATACATAGGGACCAGAATGATCATCAATAAATTGATCGAAGAAAAAATAGAATATTTTCGGTAAGATGTACAGATTTTCTTAAGAGCTTGATGAAAAAAAGAAGTTTCATTGTATCTCTTTTTAAAGTTCTTTCCCTGCGTGGGCCACGATACGATGCTTGGTAGGCCATGGCGAAAATTCCTTCAAGGGGATGGAAAGCTCGTTAAGACAATCAAGATAAGTTTGTTGAAACAAATTGGACCATGATAAATTGGACCATGATTGTCCAATTAACCAGCTGACAAGCGTTGGACGTTAAAATAGCACAGCACGTGTGAAGGATTACGTTTGGCGGTTCACGTGAAGAGTCGCCATCTCATTGTGTCTGAAGCGACAAGTAAGCTTATTCCTCTGTCGCCTCGGCATTACGTTTGGCGGTTCACGTGAAGAGTCGCCATCTCATTGTGTCTGAAGTGACAAGTAAGCTTATTCCTCTGTCGCCTCGGCTTTACGTTTGGCGGTTCACGTGAAGAGTCGCCATCTCATTGTGTCTGAAGTGACAAGTAAGCTTATTCCTCTGTCGCCTCGGCCTTTCCCCTCGTGCTTGTCACGCCCGTTACTGTGTTACACGTTACACTACCGTGGTATCATTTCAATTTTCATATAAACCACGCTCCCATCCCGTCATCAAAGATAAATGAAAACCAAGATTAACCACGCCCCCCCCCCCCACACACAAAACCCGTCGTAATTAGATAAATAAAAACCAAGATAAACCACGCCCCCATAGTATCATTTCAATTTTCATATAAACCACGCTCCCATCCCGTCATCAAAGATAAATGAAAACCAAGATTAACCACGCCCCCCCCCCCACACACAAAACCCGTCGTAATTAGATAAATAAAAACCAAGATAAACCACGCCCCCATTCCGTCGTCATAGATAAATGAAAATGAAGTGGCTATTCGCACCCGTGTACCAGAAGTGAGAGGTTGGGATTAAAAAAACTATTTAAAAAAGTTATTATTGTTGGGTTTGTAAGACAAAATGAGGTATCAAATGAAAGATAATTGAATGGACTATATGTTTGTAAACTTGCTTCTTAAGTTTAACTAGAATAAACTACCACAAATGACATCCGAATGGGATTTAGTCCAAAGGGACCCGGGTACGCATAGCCGCTATTCAAGATGTACACGGCGGCCGTGGGTTTTGTCTAAAGTAACTTTGGGAGTGCGGACCACATCTGGGGACTCCCTCATGGGGTTGGGGGGGGGGGAGACACCGAATGGAACATTGAACATTTAACAGAGGTCGCTCGAGTCGGTTTCAAAACAGATCAAAAGTTTAATACAAGTTACAGGAACATGGTGTCGCCAGGTCAGGGCGCCACCAGAACAGGGTGCCACCATCACAGAGTGTAACCATAACATGTAGCATCAGAATCAGTTGTTATCATAGCAGATTGTCGTCAGTTCAAGTGTCACCAGATAGAACAGGTTCCTACGAGAGCAGGGTCCCACCAGAAAAGGCACCATAGAGTGTTAGATTTCGGGGGGGGGGGGTGTATTCGTTTGGTAGCAACCATCAGCCAAGGTGGGTAGGGTGTATTTTTTCACTGTTGTCTTTTTTGACCATGAAAGGCCGAAACGTCCGCTGTTTTGTTTCTTCTTTTTCTGGTCCCCCCCCCCCAGGGGGGGGGGGTGTATTCGTTTGGTAGCAACCATCAGCCAAGGTGTGTAGTGTGTATTTTTTCACTGTTGTCTTTTTTGACCATGAAAGGCCGAAACGTCCGCTGTTTTGTTTCGTCTTTTTCAGGTCCCCCCCCCCCCACACACCATAATATGTTTTATTTATCTTATTACCGGACAGAGCAGCTTGCCAACATTATAGTGTAGGTTACTGACAGAGCAGGCAGACTATGAGGGGAGCCATGGGCAAGACTAGAGAAGTTGACACCATGAGTTTACCGCACAGGGTGACGCAAACACTAGTGACGTCATCGGTCGTACACCTCGCATAACGAGAGCAATATTTTGCTTGAGTTTCAGGCCCTCGCACCGGGTGCCAACATCAGGGGAGCGCCTAAATCGTATATAGATAAAACCTTGATAAATTTAACGGTAAAATTCCATGCTCATCACAATGGATAGGGCGCCAAAAATCTGGTCTTCCTTGATCAGCACTTTTTTCTATAAATTAAAGAGGCGGCATTTTCAAGCTTCTTCCCCAAGCTGAATTTTGAAGTGGCACGGTCAGTCAATTCACTAACATGGTTGTGTAGATGGATATTCTCATCTGGCTTCAGTCCCAAGCAAACATTTTCTCCCTTGTCCACCGCAGTGGCGTAGCTAGGGTTAGTGCCATCAGGGACGAGCCAAGATTTTTGTCACCCAATTTCCCGAAAAAAAACCCAAAAAAAAAACTCTGGAGCTGGTGAAAACGCCACCCTTCCATTAAAAAAAAAAAGTACCCCCCTCCGTACCATTCCCTACGCCACTGGACCACCGTACGGTTTTCCCGCAGATTGTCAAATTGAGTTCTTCTTGAATACAGTTCCGGAAAAGAAATGTGTAAATCCGGCCCTATGTGATGTGCATGATCATACTCATACGGCTATATGACATATATCATAATTTTTATATACATAGGTATTCACTATACGTATATTTGAACTTTTTTTTAGCTTCGTACATTCAACAGTTTCAATAAAAAAATCTAGACCTTAAAATATTTTCGAGATTAAAAAATTTTAAAGTAATTTTTGTTTAAAAATATGATCGAGTTGCAAGCATTGGATGTACATGTTACAAACATGTCATATAATGAACAATGAACTAATGTTATAAGCAATTTTTACAAAAACACACACACACACACACACACACACAATGCATGCAAAATACATAACAAAGTACTTGCTAAAATGTTGTATTAAAAAATTCCGCATTGAATTCAAATTATCCAAATCAGATGAAATTGAATTCTTCCACAATTATTGTGGACAACAATGACGACCAATTTGATTAAAATAACGTCAATTTGCGAGCTTAGGCTTAGTTCTCAATAATAGGTGCATTTTATATTTTTATAGTAATATACATAAATTGAAGAAATTTGATCAAGTAAAAAATTATCTAAAGCTAATATTAAATAGCTTTTTTTTTTTTAAAATCATTCTTAGATATTCCACCACACCATTTAAAAAATAATTTTAAGACAAAGTGACAAATATTTTTTCTCTAAACATTGCGAAATATGAAAACTGAACTCGAATCCTCCTTTTGTATTTCCTAAATCCTGATCTTAAAAAAGTGATATAGGAATTTCGACATTTTAACCAGGAAAGAAATAAAAATGACTTCCCTTACTCCGTTTTGTATGGTTTCAGTTATTTCTTCTTCAAAAAAAATATTGAAATTAATTCCTCTTTTTAATCAACGTCAGCATTTTTCTTCTAAACACAAAATTCAGGTAAATACTGATTTCCGATTGATTAACCTTTAGTGTGATTGAATCATATTGAATGTGTCCAATCCAAACAATCAAACAATATCTCAATATGCCATATGCACACTTGAAAAATTAATATTAGTATTATTATTATTATTTATTATTAAATTAAATTTTATTATTATTAATATTATCTTAGGCTTAGGCCTTTAAATTTAATTTTAATTATTTATACTATTTAGGAGTAAGTAGTTAACGCTCTTCTTACCATTATTTATTAGTAGTTCATTTATATTAATATTATGGCCGGCACTACGTACACCGCGGCGGTGTACCTAGCGAAACTATTGACTTTGGCCTGCGTACACCGCGGCGGTGTACCTAGCTAAATCATGGTCTGTGGCCTGCGTACACCGCAGCGATTTACAGTAGCCAAACTATGGTCTTTGCGAGTCTTTAACTTTTTGGCCTAACCGGTACTTGTAGATTTAATGTTATACTCGTGTTAAAACTGAAAACTATTAAAAATTCGTTTATTACCTTGGGAAGATATTGAGTAAGGTCCACGCGTATGTGGCAAAGTGCATGTAAAGCATTTCTTATTATTTTTGGAAGGGAAGGGGCTGGGGGGGGG